TCCGGTCAAGGGCATGTACCTGGGTTGCGGGCATATCCCCAGTAGGAGATGTGCAGGAGGCAGCTGATCGATGTTTCTCTCATCATCGATGTTTCTAACTCTCTATCTCTCTCCCTTCCTCTCTGTAAAAAATCAATAAAATATATTAAAAAAAATATCCAAAATTAAACATGTAGAAAATAAACAAAAATAATAAACAGAACATCAATGAGCCACGAGACTTCGAGCAGCCTTATAAAAGTGAAATTGGAGTCCCTAAAAGGTGGCAGGTGAACAGAAAAAAATATTTGAAGAAATAAATGGCTAAAAATTTTAAAAACTTGAGGAAAATTATAAACCCACAAAGAAGCTTCTTGAAGCCCAAAGCACCAAGGCACATCATAATCAAATTGCTCAAAGCCAATGATAAAGAGAAACTCTTAAAAGCAGTCAGGGGGAAAATGTAAGTTGAATAACACAGGAAAAGAGATAAGAATGGAGATTTCCCATTGGAAACAATGCAAGCCCCATAGATGTCTTTCCAAGAAAAATGGGCAACTTACAATAAGAAAATTACAAAGCACTTAAGGTACCATGAGCAGAAACAGACCCTGAAGTCTGAAAATACTAGAGTTAATAGATACACATCAGAAAAAGAAAAGAGAGAGAGAGAGACCTCAAAAGCAGTTAGAAAGAAGGCAAATGATCCTAGGTGAGAGGTTTGAGATGCAAGGACTAGGAAGCAAAGGTATAAATATGAGGGTAAATATAAACAAATGTTGAATGTATAAAACAATAATACTTTTTGGACATCAGACAAAACTACAGAATTGTAAAAAAAGAGTTAAATGGATAATTGTTGGATAATTGGAGTTAAAATGCTCAAGGTTGTGTGATTAAAAATAACTTGTGTAATTGCTAAAAGAATAGATATAAATTGCATAGTTCCTAAACAAGTAGAAGTAAAAAAGGTGTCAAAAATAATTTAAAAATCTCAAATAAAAAAAGATAAAAATGGAGGGGACAGAAGAAACAGAATAAATGGGACATATAGAAAGTACAGAAGATGGTAGAAAAAAATCCAAATATATAAGCAACAATAGAATATTATTATTCTGTAGTGAGGACGAACTATATAGCTACATATACCATGTGCTATTTAAAAGATCACTTTTAAAATAAAGTTTTTATTTATTTTAGAGGGAGAAAGAGAGTGGGTTTCTAGATGAGAGGGAAACATTGATCAACTGCCTCCTGCACACCCCCTACTGGGGATCAAGCTGGAAACTGGGAATGCAACCAGTGATCTCTCACTGCATGGAAAGATGCTCAATCTACTCAGACATACTGGCCAGGCCCATGTGCTATTTTTGTACATTTTTCACATTAAAAATTTTTTTAAAGGTACAGAAGTGTAGCATATACTTCATGTAATATATACATTGCTTCACATATAGAAAATTATTTCTAGACAGATACACATGAAACAGTTGTCCTTGAGGAAGGAGACCAAGGTCTTGAGTTAGAAGACTTACTTTTAATTGTACACCCTCTTATGTACCTTTTAAAAAATATATACTTTTATTTATTTCAGAAAGGAAGGGAAAGGGAAAGACAGAAAAATCAATGGTGAGAGAGAATCATTGATCAGCTGCTTCCCACATGCCCTACACTTGGGATCAAGCCAGCAACCCAGGCATGTGCTCGACTGGGAACTGAACTGTGACCTCCTAGTTCATAGGTCGATGCTCAATCACTTAGCCACACTGGCCGGGACCCCTTATGTATTTTTTAAAACCATGTGCATATTCATATTTATATTTAGTTACATTAATATAAAATGAGTACCTACATATTATTTATCCTTCCTTAAAATAATTGTACATATTTTAGTATTACCTTGTTAAAACCATTCAGTTATGTGAATCAAATCCTGTCCTCTGTAAAATTATATAATTTCTTACTTTTAGTATCCCTGAGAGTTCTTAGTAAAGGGTAGACAGAGTGGGAGATCGTTTCCTTTCATGTTTGCTAAGTGAAACATGAAAAATCTATAATGTACCATGATATCAGACATTATGATTCTACTCTAGATTAACAATTTTTCAGTCTCAATGTGATGAAATATCTGAATTGTATACATATAAGTCCCCTTGTAATTTGAAATAGTTAATATTTTCTTGGAGCAGAGTCCATTTTTTGCATAATAATTAATTGTGTTTATTCAAATAAAGAATTAAGAACCTTTTATATGTTAGCCACTAAAGGATGTAAGAAAAGGTTAAGTACATGCTCCTTGCCCTTATGCCTACAGTCAAGTAGAAGAGGCAACTGAGTATGAAAAAGGAACTGTAAAAGAGATTGGAAGAATGATAATTGAAGTTCAATGTTATAAGAATATATAGAAAGGAAAAGAACTTGAGTTAGAACTATGGCTAAGTGAGAAACTATGGAGAATTATTGAGTCAGGCTGTACAAAAGTATGATTATATATAAAATGAAAATTATAATTCATGTTATTTTTAATACACAACATGTAATGCAACCTCACAGACTACTACATAATATAAGTTGACACATCACTTTACTGTTAATAACTTTACCAAAAAAGTCAAATAAATCCAATTTTAGGCAGCTAGTATGATTTAAACTAAAGCTTTTTTTGGTTTGTTGCTAATCTTCAGACGAGAAAAAAAACTAAAAAACAGATATTGCATCAACATACAAATATAATACAATACTAAACATTGTAAATACAATGTAAACAGCATTATAGCTAGTGGTCAATGGCTGAATTTGGCCATTGGCAAGTCACAGATGAACTAAGCCTTAATTTCTCTATTTGTAAAATGGGGATAATTAAAAAGTGTATATCATCGGAAGATTAAGTGAACTTATAAAAAATATTTTGTAAAAAAAAAGAAAAAAAATATTTTGTGGTGACTTGCACTTAATACTCAGTATTAGCTAATACTATTATATTCCCCCAACTTAGCAATCATCACCAAATTTCATACTGAATTAATTTTTCCCATGTATGGGAAAATGTGTCTCCTGAATGCATGCAGAGATAAATTTCTTTGTTTCTGAATTAAGCAGACTTTGAGTAAAAACTTATCCAAGGCCGAAACCGGTTTGGCTCAGTGGATGGAGCGTCGGCCTGCGGACTGGGGGGTCCCAGGTTCGATTCCGGTCAAGGGCATGTACCTGGGTTGCGGGCACATCCCCAGTAGGAGATGTGCAGGAGGCAGCTGATCGGTGTTTCTCTCTCATCGATGTTTCTCACTATCTCTCTCCCTTCCTCTCTGTAAGAAATCAATAAAATATATTAAAAAAAAAAAAAAACTTATCCAATAGTGCTAACAGTTGTTTTGGTATTCAACTTAAATATTTTAATTTGTACTTCCCTAGTTAAGTACTTAAAATTATATTCATACATTTCCAACTGCAGCACTATATCCAGGTACTAGGTATAAAAGGTTTTGAGATAGAGATACATATTCTTATAAGTACCGTGCGCTAACCGATTGCGCTACTGGAGAGATACATATTCTTAATTTACATAGATTCTAGCAGAATTTTGACCCATGGATTAGAAAGCCATGTCATTAAAACCATTTACTAGATCACAAAGCTAGTATAAACTGACTACTATAAAGTCAGTGGAAGAAACTGGAAACAATATGCCTTGGTTAAAGTACAGTGTGTTAAGTATTGAGTGGATACTATAGGTATCAGATATGACTAACACTTAGGTTATAGACAGAAATCCACGAGTATGTCTAGAGCATTTTCTGCAAGCTGTTCAATGTAAAAGAGCAATATGATAATGATTTTTACTATATATTAACTGGAAATATATATATACTTATATATTTATTTATTCTGGCTTTAAAAAACCTAAGTACAAAAGAGGATAATTTGGGACAATTTATATGAAACACTGAAAAATGTACAAGTACAAATTCAAGTGGAATAATAAATCTTAGGCGTAAAGCAGGATAAGATCAGTGATAAGAACATATCCTATTAAAGTAAAAAATGTGTAGCTTTTATACCAGAAGGCTTATTCAAAGATATACATCAGGTTTTAAACAGCCTTTGTTTGAAATAAAGTATCATATATATTATAAATAACTACCACAAAAATCACAGTAGAAAGCATACTTACAGAGCAATAAAGAAATTTATCCTGGTATGCTCATTTATAGTAAATTTAGCCCTCTTGAAATAAACAAAGGTCATAGCCAAAAGATACTATAGGAAAAAAAGTTAAAAGTTAATATGAATGTTGTGTTTTCATAAGTAAAACTGCTTTAAAACAGTTACCTTTAAGATGACTAACAAGCTAAAACAATAAAGCATTATTTATCCTTATTACAGAATTACCTATTCAGATCCTTATTTTTTTGGCTCCTGTAATCCATGTAAACAGTAAGAAGTTAATTCTCAATCATTTATCATGATTAAGATTATAACTAGAATGAATTTCTAAATTTTATTGTCAATATTTTTGAACCAAAAACACAATATTTTTCTATCTTAAATATCAAACCTATAGAGAGGTGAAAATAATCATAAAATGAATAAACATATCTTCTTCACCTAGATTCACCATTTGTATGTTGCCACATTGGTTTGACGTGTTATATACACATTTTCCCCCTGAATTCTTTTAGTTATAGTCATCCATATTCACTTTCTAATAGAATCTTTTAAAAATAACTCAATGAAAAATTAGAATAACATGGATTTATTTTCATTGAAAAAAGTTTTGTATTTATTAAAAAGACATATGTCTAGCCTGGTATTAAGACACTATGCCAGGCTCTGGCTGTTTCATTTAAAAACAAGTTGTAATATTGATGTATTAGATTTCCTTCTCATAAAATGCCTATTTATCCTACCTTCGCAGAGCTGGCCATAAAGGAGATTTCAAGTTTTCAATGTGATAGTGTTAAAACAGAGTGCTCCTGGTTAGTTACTTTGAAAGCACTGCCCCCTGCTGTCCAACAACTTTAATTATTATAATGCACTTAATATAATCAAGTGTAAAAGTATGCCACATGAACTGGATATTTGATATTAAGGCAGTACCGTCAACATTTAAAAGTGTTAGTGACATTGTGATTATGTTTAAAAATATGTAATTTTTTAGAGATACATCTTAAAATATTTATGGATGAAATATTAGGATGTCTGCTTTTGGGGAGAGGGATTAGAAAAAATAAGAATGGCCCACAGTTGGTGGGTTAGGCTCCTGGAGGGTCTTTGTTTTAATATCTACCCTAAGTTGTGTATGGTTGAAATTTTCCAAAATTAAAAAACAAAACTTCTCTAATTTTGTTATTTTAAACCTGAAATTTTTAAAAGTTCACACCAATAGTAACTTATTCATTCCCTTTTTTTGTTAGTTCCCCAAAATACAGAATGAATTTATAGTTTATTCTAATTTTAAAGTTAATATGCAAAGATTCCACTTTCAAGGAGCAATGCAGGCTAGTTCTTTTCCTAAACTTAATCAATAAGAAGAAAATTCTTATAAGGTTTCATGAAAGTTCTGATGGTTTAGTAATATAGTAACATTGGTTAATGATTATATTATTACTAAATTTACCTTGTCTGCAATTTTACAGCAGCAGTCCATCCACAAGAAATCTTGAATTAAATCATCATCTACAACAAAAGATAGCTATGACTTGTCTTTTAAAGAGAGAATGTTTCCTTTTGAAGATTTCCTACATAAGGAGATTATAAATGATGCTCTAAATTGCCTTAATATATAGCGTAGACTGGAGTGGGAATGGTAGAACTTTTTGATTTATTGAATATCCCAACAGCTCTTTGAGAAATAAGTATTGGTCTCGATTAGCTTTTTGTTACTTTCCAAAGTCAATCTTTAACAGGTGGAAATGGAATCTGATACAGAACTCAGTCTTTAAAAAAATGACTTGCCCCACTAATGTGGCTCAGTTGGTTGAGCATCCTCCCATGCACCAATAGGTCTCCGGTTTGATTCCCTGTCAGGGCACAGGCCCAGATTTCTGGCTCAATCCCCAGTAGGGGATGTGCAGGAGGCAGGTGATCAATGTTTTGCTTTCATATCAATGTTTTTCTCTCTCTCCCTTCCTAAAACTCAATAAAAGAATCTTTAAAAAAAAAACACTGTCTCATGATCTGAACAAATTCAATAGCTCAGTTATAGCACTGAAGAAAATCTTGAAGCAGGGTTGTTGGCTTGGCTGAGATTTTATGTAGTATTTTACTTTAGGTCAAAGAAAACTCATGCTATGAACTTGAAATGCCCAATATTCATGTTTGACACTGTATTTAAGTAGTCTAGAAGTGAGATGAGGGTGCCTCGTTAGCGCAGTAGGTAGCGCGTCAGTCTCATAGAAATGAGATGAGTTAGAATTTCTAATCCAAAAGAATCAAAATCGAATATTTAAAAAAAGACTAATTAAAATAGGCTTGGTTGGAAATGAGAAATCTGACAGAAAATAAGAGCATCCTCTGATTATTATGAAAATGATAAAATAGATCTTTATATTCTCTCACTTTTAAGTACTCTCTAATTATAATATTTTAAACCTACCAAATAATTTAAAGAAAGCAGTCATTTCCTGACGCTGTATAACTAGACAGGGTCCTTTGGGGCGTTTAGACTTGTTGCTATTCTGCGCATTTTTTTCAGATGTTGGCCAACTATCTTTAAAAATAGGACGCTTCAGGTTAATAGGTTTTTTAGGCTGATGTGATCTACTTGACCCAGATTTTACATGAACAGTAACAGAAGGTGGTGTCTCACAACACAGCTGATTATGCCTCATTTTGCTTTCCCAAGAGTCCTGTAAAAATAAAACATATAATTATTTATCACACTCTTACTCATTTCTATATGAAAACAATTAACTGGATGATACCACCAGATGCAGTGATGTGAGGCATTATTGAACTTGCTACTAAATTGTTGTGACAGCGACTCATATGAGAAAGTGCTTTTAGAATTCAGTGCTAAGAAATGCTACACTTCCTTTGGTTAATTGATATACCTCCTCTTCCCAAGAAATAAGATCCTGTATACTATTTTGCTTTGACTACAAGGGAACTCAAAACCAATTTTGAAAGTTAATTAAAGAAAGTATACTAACTTTATAATCTATTTGTAATACTCTTTTTTCCTGATAACATTTTGCTTGCATTGACATAATTTTATCATGATTATATGACACCTTGAATTTTTTATAGAACAAGGCAAACAATTCCTAGAAATTAATTATAATCAATATTAAGTATTATATTAAAAAGTAATCCACACACAAAAAAACATTTTCTTACTAGTAAATTTCTTAATATGTTACAAAATTTACTTACTCAAGAGCATTTATTGGTATTTATTAAAGTTAAAAATAATTCTAGCAGAGATGCATGGTATATGTATTTTGAGGAATTCTCATAAAATGATCATTTTTTTTATACTTGAGTGTACTATATGAGCATGCTTTTTGAGTAGCTGATTATAAGTGTAAATGAACATATAGTGTTATAATCTAATACAATTTGAAACAATGTTCATCCATCCATATTTAACAGTATGTATAATCTCTATCATGTTTGTGGTAATGTTACTACAGTTAGTATTACTTTTGTGATAAAAAAAATTTGTAGGGTATAAAAGGAGGTATAAATAGGCAAAGTAGGAAACTACTCCAAGACCCTAATTAAAAGCTCTGAATCCATACTCAAAGGGACCCAAGCAACCATGTCTTCTTGGGTGTTCCAGGAGTTAGGCACAGCTTCTCCTACCTGACCCTCAGAAACTTCCCTGCTAAAGGAAAATAAGATTGGACTTAGTGGGCTAGAGCAATGCTGTCCAATATAATGTGAGCCACATGTGTAATTTATATATGTGTGTATATACATATACACACACACACATATGTATCTGTATGTATAAATTTAACTTTATTTTTATTGTGTAATTTTATATTTTAATGTCACATTTAAAAAGTGCAAATAAACAAGTTAATTTAATAACATATTTTATGTAACCTAGTATATAAAAAAATACATTTTTAACATGTAATCAATATTTTACTTTTTCATACTAAATTTGAAATCTGGTATATATTTACACTTACAGTATATCTCGATTTGGATGTTAAATTTCCAACAGTTAAAGTGAAATGTAGTCCTACCAATACAATCAAGTAATCTGCAAGGAAAAGCATATTTCACACTCATTCAGTACTTAATTTAAAATGAAATAAAAGGAAAATCAATTCTTCAGTTGCATTCATCACATTTCAAGTTGCTCTATAGCCACAAGTGGCTAGTGGCTACCATATTAGACAGTATAGGGTTAGATTATGAAGAACTAGTCAGAGGAAATTATATTAAATTGATTCTATAATTGTTTCTCTTTCCTTTTCCTTTGGGGGTCGAACGACCCTTTCACAGGGGTCGCCTAAGACCATCGGAAAACACATATATAATTACATATTGTTTTTGTGATTCATCACATGCGTTAATTATGTTCAATTTATAACAATGAAAATACATCCTGCATATCAGATATTTCCATTACGATTCACAACAGTAGCAAAATTACAGTTATGAAGTAGCAACGAAAATAATTTTATGGTTGGGGATCACCACAACATGAGGAACTGTATTAAATGGTCACGGCATTAGGAAGGTTGAGAAACACTGCTCATCTTTCTTCCTAGGTCCAACCAAACTGAAGATGAAATGGGTGATAAATTAAGCCATGGGACTTATGTAAGATCTTTCTTCTCCCTTCTACCCACCTCATCTGGGAGACAGTTGGGGCCTCATCTGTACTCCCTCCCCCTTACAATCTAGATTAAAAAAAAAAACTGAATAGGCTTCTCAAATTGGAGTATAGAGGCTAGGCTCAGGTGTGGAATGTACCAGAATATAGAATAACAGTGGTATATCTCCCAGGAGGTAAGATTTACTCAATGTTAAGTAAGTTATATTAGTTTTGTTATATTAAAACAACCATGGATATATCATGCAATAAAATGCAATTTTCTTTCATAAAAAAGATAAATATCAGGCTCACAGCTTTACACTAAGCCACTGAATCCTATAAAATTTGAGAAAATAGACAAAAAATGGCTGAAGTTCCCCAAAGAGATATTGAGATTAATACACAAATATTGGCAGTAAAGTTATGAAGAAAGCGCTAAGGACAGAAGCTATCAGTGCTATATTCTTGGTCAAATTCCACCTTGAGGTAGTTGTAATTTTGTTCTTCATTTAGATATGCCAAAAGAATGAGGTTCTAATAAGCATGCAAGAGGAAAAGAATAAAAGACAAAAATATGGGCCATTCCTGGAAAGGACAAGAGATAAGGAAGGAGAAACTATGCTCATAAGGCAAAATCCTTTAACAAGTTTTTACATGGACTCCACCAACATGAAGAAAATCACACCAGAATTCATACTTGGACAGAGTATCTGAGATATTTTTTGGTGAAGGTGGTATCCAGACAACAGCTAATTTATAGGCATCTAAATAATTTCTTCTCTCTGCAGGTACTATACAGAGGGGTCAAACAACAGAAGCAGTAGTTTGGAGGTCCAAGGGCCTCTAGGAAAACAATACCCATTGGAGATTCAGGACAGGCAGGTGAGCCGAACTGTAGCCTTAACTGAGCACTTCACACTGTGCCAAAGGTTTTGCATGCATTATCTCATTTAATTCTCAGAACATCTCTATAAGGTGAGTGTTGTTTTATCCTTATTTTCTAGATTAGAAGTTTGAGGCTTAGAGAAGTTAAGGAATTTGCCCATGGTCATATAATGAGTGAGTGACAAAGCTCAGACTTGAGTCCAACACTGTCTGACACAAAGCCCCGTATTCTTTAACCACTACAGAATTGTTCTAAAGATTAAATGAAATCATGTGCAAACACTTGAAACATAATAAGCAGTCCAATATTGCGTACTGTCACCTTGCCAGGAAAACATAAACCCGGCTGCAAGACTACACTTTGTAAAATTTAATTCTAGCATTTGCCGTGTGAGTGAATTATGACTTAGTGGTTAAGTAAGCCATTGCTGTAGGGAAGAAAGATGGGCTTACCATATTTTTCTCTAAAATAAAGTAACTCTTAAAAAGTAATCTTTATCAGTTGGTGAGCGCACCCTCCCGGCCGGCCAGGGTTGGGGTCCAACCCCCAGTCAGCGCACATGCAAGCAGCAGCCAAGGAACGCATCCATCAGTGGAATAAACCCGTTTCCCTCTTCCCCTCTCCCCCTTTCTCTCTCTCTCTAAAGATCAAAAAATAAAAATATAAAAAATTTTTTTGAAATTGCTATAGCATTCTTCTCTATTATAACCACAGAATCTAATTACTGAGAGACACAGCGAATTTAGAAAATCTCCACAATTTTCATGTTTAAACTTTTTTTCCCAAAGTTAACTTACCATCTAACGGTGACAGAGCACTTTTGGCCCAGATGCTACAGTGTTAGTAAGATTATACGGCACAGCTGTCTCAGCAAGTCCGAATCCGGCCAGAAATTCAGCCCATGGGAATCCAGGGGCACGAACCACGGAAACCGAACGGAACTGACCGAGCGACGAGGAGCAGCAGCGGGAACGCGCCTCCCGCCCCCCTCCTCCCTCCCCCCCACCCCAAACCCTGGCAATAACCCCAAGGAAGGGAAAAAAAAAATTAAAAAAAGAGACGGGACTCGTGCGCCGGGCAGGCAGACGGGCAGCGCTGGGAGAGGAGGCGGAGAAGGTGGGCGCGGACCGGGACGCAGCCCTGGGCTGTCCGGCCTCCGGGCGGGCCCCTCGCTGAGGGCGGCGAGCGCAGACACCGTGCGCGCGCTTCGGAACCCGGTGCAGGTAACTATTCAT